TCGTTTCGTGGCCACAGGCAGGCACCGACCTCAGCACTGGTCTGCCGCTAAGAGGGTTTTGCGTTATCTTGCAAGTACATCGGGCATGGGGTTAGTGCTAGGCGGACGCAGGCCAGTGGTCCTTACTGGACACACAGACGCTTCTTGGGCAGACGACGTCGAGACGCTCAGGTCTTCCCAGGGCTACTGCTTTAGCCTTGGTTCAGGTGCTGTCTCGTGAAGAGCTACCCGCTCTTCGTCTGTTGCCCAGTCCAGCTGTGAGGCTGAGATCTACGCCGGTGCCATGGCGGCACAGGAGCTCCGCTGGCTGACCTTCTTGCTCACTGACTTAGGTGAGCGGCCTAGCTCTGCCCCGGTCCTGTACGCTGACAACAGGGCCATGATCCTCCTGTGTCAAGAGCCTCGACTCGAGGGCAGAGCGAAGCACATCCAGCTGCGGTACTTCCTCCTGCGTGAGCTACAGCAGCGTCGCCAGGCTCGCGTAGTACACTTAGCCTCCGGTGCCAACACAGCTGATATCTTTACGAAGGCGCTTGCGCCTAAAGATCATCAGCGGCACTGTGTACAGCTTGGTCTGGTTCCTGTAGTCTCTCACTTACTCGGGCCTTGACTTTGTACTGTCCTATATATCTGTATGTACACTCAGACTGGACTTGTGTCCTCTTACAGTGGTTGGACTAGTAGTGCCGCCCTGTACTGGTTCTTGCCTTGCCTGTACTCCTTCTGACTGGTCTTTTAGTCCCTTGTCTCAGAGGCTGGACTAGTAGTGCCACCCTGAGCTGCTTGTCTAGACCATTCCCCTATGCAGTCCAGGGGGTGTGTCAAACATGTTTAGTTATCATGCTTGTATAGACTGTATAGGGTCATCTTCTAGAGAGTACAACAGTTAGGTATATGTTTGTGTACTCTCTCTCTCTCTCTATTCATCAATTTCACTGTATAATAGAATGGACATTCTGAATCCTGAGAACTTCAGACTAGTCGACTTTTGGATACTGAGATTTCCGACTAGGGAAATTTTGAAAAATGGCCCTTCAGACTTGAGATTTTTTTTGGGGGGTAAAATCAGAGTGCCTTTTTTTGAAACGTCAGCCCTGAGCAGATCGTTGGGCAGGATCATTTCGAAACAAAACCGGGAATCAATCGCACGTGCGAATACAAACGATCCTCCTCGTCAAAGTCCCAGATCGCCGTACCCCCAAAAGCCACGAAACCAAAAGCGCTTCGTCAACTCGCCATTGCGAAAAAATCTGACAATGCAAATCCTCTAATCTCGAGCCGCATTTGCGAATGTCCAGGAAGGGTTGCTGGGTTTGGGCGAAATGCTCTGCGAAATGCCCTGCTGGCCAGCTGCAAAACGATACTCGAGATCGCAAGCTGCAAATCTGGAACATGGCTATATCGCGTACGTAGTCGATATTGAAGATCGTTTGTAGTGAGTCAGAATCTATATCCTAAAATAACAGGCAATGAATGCTTTTCACGCGATCCTCCTAAACGGACGCAATGTAGCGCGTCCTAATCTGAAGAGCGGGTTCACTTCGGTAGTGGATGGGTCTTAGGATCAACTTTTACAACCGACTTACACACCTGTGTCCGCTCCAGACTGTGAGAGTCGTTCGATTCGACCATCGGTAAAAATTCAACGACGCGACAGAATGCATGTAGTTCAGGGCCTATTTTTCAAGCGATGTTGCCCTGAATTTGAGTCAAATAAAAGGTAGTTTGTCAGCTGGCCCACAAATTAAGGGCTGGATTTTTATGAACCCGGAAGCTTAAGGATTTGTGCAAAGTATATCTCTCGAGATTAAGGGTATATTGGTTTCCTACCCTGAGTGTACTATTAGTGCTGATAGGGCTACAGGGGGGATCTCCTTAAGAGGAACAACTCCCTTAGAAGATTTTCGTTGTTCTCCCCTCACAGCACGCACTCACACCAACTGACTGAGGGGAGATAACTCCCTTAGAAAGTTTTCGACCTTCTCCACTCACAGCACGTTACTCACAAGTGTAGTCACCAACAGAGGGGTGACAACTCCCTTAATATATTTTCGTTCTTCTCCCCTCACAGCACATTACTCACACCTCGTAGTCACCAACAGAGGGGAGACAACTCCCTTAGTAGATTTTTGTTCTTCTCCCCTCACAGCACGTTTCTCACACCTCGTTGTCACAAATAGAGGGGAGACAACTCACTTATTGGATTTTCGTCATTCTCCCCTCACAGCCCCGTGCACGTTACTCACGCCCTTTTCGTCTTGTCCATACATCTCCTGGTAGATTCTAACCGTGGCGGGTGAAAGGGTACTGTGCAAACGAACCCTAATGATTCAGGGTTGCCTTTTGCTGGACCCTGAACATTAAGGGTAAACTTTTAAGAAGCCCGAGGACTAAAAACCAAAAGTAAGCCCTGATGTAGATTAGCAACAGCATCATGATTCACGGGATCCAAGAGTACATAATTAGCAGACGCTAGTAGTAGGGCAAGATGTATTCGGAAAAGTGAACACAAATCTCTCGAAACCCGACATGTCACTCTCAGATTACATCCTGAGAGCGCTTTATTTTAATTTATTTGTAATACTACTGCTAACACTCTATTTTGTGCCGGACCGTCACCTCAGTTTCCCTGAGACACGCACATGTTGTTCTCCCAGTCCCAGTTCTGCTGCACCAAGAATCGTATGCCGTTCATCCCCACGAGATTGTACTCGTACGTGTTACCACTGCTGTCGCTATCCGTGAGCGTCGCTCCAACACCGTAAGAGCACTTGTCTGCATTCTCCTCCCGTTGGTCGTCGAGCCAGCCTGAACTCGCGTCAGGGTCGCTGGCTGCCTCTGCGATTTCGTGAGCGATGGTGGAAACCGTCGCATCGATCGCAGGGTCCTCGTTGGGCGACGCACTCTGCGCCCCGCAACCCTCCGCGCACTGCCCGTGGTGACCCACAAACGAGTATATAACCGCGTCGGATCCCATGTAGTCCATGGTGTGCCATCCGCAGTACTCGCTGCAGTAGCCAGGGACTGTCACATCCGGGCTCGTAAGCAGCATGTAAAGGCCCTGCGGGTCGTACGGAAAAGCCTGCCCGTCGCCAATCCAGCTTGAAACAACTGTGATAGAAGGGCAGGAGTCCGGCATTTGTTATTCTTTTAGAGTGGAAAACGAGACCGTCAAGCTTCAGATAAGATTTTATATTACCAGAGAAGGCAATATTATGTTGCAAAATATATTGAACACTAGCCTGCTTACCTTCCCAAACCGTGTTTTCGCCAAAATTCGTCCCAGCCGAGTAGTCATCGTAGGCAGTCCCGGCTACTTGCACCTGCCAATGATTACATGAAACAAGAAAGGCGGCGTGCGTTTATTGACAAGGTAATAACAGCCGACTCAGAAAATACGCCAGCAGCTTGCAAACCCAATCCATGGAGCATCAGGCTGGCAGCGTGATTAGCTCAAAACCGCGCCTAAAGCCCGCGTACTTACCGTCCAGGTAGCTCAAAAGTCCTTACAACCGGGCATACCTCGCTGCCGACGTTCTCCCTCCCGCCTTCCCCATCCTGGTAATACGCCGCGTTGATCGCCCACCAGCGATCCACTGTGGGCTCTGCCGGATCCCCCTGCTGGTCCGAGCCTGCACCCAGTGAGTTAACGAAGTTCTCAATCACATCTTGCCCCGATCCTTCCGGCCAGTTGCCATAGTAGATTAAGTACACGTTCACGCTCCCGGTCATCACGGGGCCGCCCAAGTATTTGATCGGCGCGGAGGACGAGCCGTCGCCGCCGTTGGCGCCCGCATCGCCCTTTTCTCGTTTTTCTTCCTCGAAGTGCGCCTTCGTCTCGAACATGTGCAGCGGCGGGCGCGAGCCGCGGTCGATAGCGTCGGTCAGCCGGCGCTGGCGGCGGTAGGCGTCGTGCGCCGGTCGCGTGCGCGCGACGCGCCTGAGCGGACCGGCGGATGCGAGGGGGAGCAGTGAGATGCAAATGAGCGCGAGCGAGAGAACAAGAAGAAGGAATGCGGCGTTGAGGGAACTCGCCATGGTGACGTCTGCAATCTGACGACCTCGCAGTGCTGAGCGTTCTCGAAGGACAGGGTCAGCTGATAGAGGCGGGAACGAAGGCGGATGTCTGCCTAGAGTTAATGCCGGCGCGTTCGCAAAATGCGGGGATCGAATCTAGCTTGCCAGCTCACTTTAGCCAGAAATGTGGTTCAAGCTGAGATAAGGGGAGTCACTGATTGAGCGAGAAGGCGATGCTCCTGATATGCAATCAGACCGCTATTTATCCAGAAGTAGCAGGTTAGCCAGCAAGATTGGCAGAGGCTGTTTCCAATGTCGCACACTGACGAACCAGCTGACCAGGAAAAGGAGCGAGCGAGTCGCGAATGCCGACGTCGCTGTCCCTCCACGCTCACAATTATCCGTGCTGCCTCTGCGTGCTCGAGGTGTCCAATAATTTCGCGGCTTGCTTTTCAGATGAGCAAATTCGAGTGTTCCAGCGAAAGTATTCATGTTTCACTATTATTTCTAGCCTAACCTAACAGGTATGATTTTGTTTCCCATTTAAATTAACGTACTTAGCCTATGTTGTGGGAAAATGAATGTGTCCTCATTTTTTAGCATTGAATTTATTTCTATCCGTGCGTATCAAGGAACAAAGTTTGGGGACATTTTCATTACTCATGAGGATGAAAGGAGACTGGCAAATTCGGAAGAAGGGATGGTTTTGCCGTATAAAACAAGGTGGATATCACTGCCATGTTGGTTTAAACTGCGAGTTTAGATAGACTATACAAAGCCCGAAGCACATCATACAGGAAAATACCGCCAGATTTAGGCTGGGCTCACCTTCCTCCTGAGGTGCATATCATTCGTCCTGAGGTACAACGGCGACAAGGTGCGTGCAGCCGTCCCAATAATCGACAACTTGGGAGAGCGGCAAGCAAGGTCCAGCGCAGCGACCCATAGGCATAGTTATTGTATTCGTTTACAGCGATCTTTCGCTGAGATGGAATAGGTCCGGATTCGATTAGGCTCGGTTTGAATTACCCTCTTCCAGGCCTGACGCGTCGCCCGCACGAAAAAGCACTTGCATTGGAAACAAACTTCTTTTGTAGCGTCTGTCTGCAGCAATCACTGTAGCTCACGCGTTTGTGGCACACGCATTTGTAGCACGCGCATCCACACATCTGTATCCCGTGGAACGATAGCCAGACATAGAAGCGCAAGGCCCATCAGCAAGCATCTGTGCCCACGTGAAACGATAGCCCTCAAGGCCCAAGGCGCAAGGCCCAAGGCGCAAGGCCCAAGGCGCAAGGCCCACGGCGCAAAACCATCAGCAAGCATCTGGACCCACGTGAAACGATAGCCCCGCATGAGTCGCGCGGTGCCGATCAGCGCGCGAGGCGGCGGCAGCAGTGGCGCGTTCGGCGCGAATCGCGTGGTGGTGCTGTTCACCGTGTCACTGCTGCTCGTGGCGTCCGCCGCCGGCTCCTTCTTCGCCTTCTGCCCCGCGTCGTCCCGCTCCATCGACGAAACCAAGGTAAGGAGGTCCCGAACCTCACGGTAATGCTTCACCTGTGCGATGGCTCTGCTCGTCGCGTCTGCTGCCGGCTCTTTCTCCCCGTTTCCCTCCCCATTCCCCGCCATTGCTTCCCCATTCCCCGCCATTGCCTCCCCATTCCCCCCCATTGCCTCCCCATTCCCCTGCCCCATTGCCTCCCCATTCCCCTGCCCCATTGCCTCCCCATTCCCCTGCCCCATTGCCTCCCCATTCCCCTGCCCCATTGCCTCCCCATTCCCCTGCCCCATTGCCTCCCCATTCCCCTGCCCCATTGCCTCCCCATTCCCCTGCCCCATTGCCTCCCCATTCCCCTGCCCCATTGCCTCCCCATTCCCCTGCCCCATTGCCTCCCCATTCCCCTGCCCCATTGCCTCCCCATTCCCCTGCCCCATTGCCTCCCCATTCCCCTGCCCCATTGCCTCCCCATTCCCCTGCCCCATTGCCTCCCCATTCCCCTGCCCCATTGCCTCCCCATTCCCCTGCCCCATTGCCTCCCCATTCCCCTGCCCCATTGCCTCCCCATTCCCCTGCCCCATTGCCTCCCCATTCCCCTGCCCCATTGCCTCCCCATTCCCCTGCCCATTGCCTCCCCATTCCCCTGCCCCATTGCCTCCCCATTCCCCTGCCCCATTGCCTCCCCATTCCCCTGCCCCATTGCCTCCCCATTCCCCTGCCCCATTGCCTCCCCATTCCCCTGCCCCATTGCCTCCCCATTCCCCTGCCCCATTGCCTCCCCATTCCCCTGCCCCATTGCCTCCCCATTCCCCTGCCCCATTGCCTCCCCATTCCCCTGCCCCATTGCCTCCCCATTCCCCTCCCTCAATGCCTCCTAATGTCCCCCCTTTCCCCTCCTCCGATGCACCCATGCTCACGTCATCCATGCCCTCCCCTGCTCCTCCCTCCCCATGTCTCCCTCCCCCAGCACCAGCGGCGGCTGCAGCAGGAGCAGCAGCTGGCGCTCACAGGCAACCTGAGCGCGAGTAGAGAAGCCAGAAGATACAGGCTGGCTCACCCACTCTTCCCCCCCCATTCTCACCTCCCTCTCCCCCCCCAATGCCTCCCCGTATCCCCTTCCCCCAGCACCAGCGGCAGCTGCAGCAGGAGCAGGAAGAGGGGGTAACAGGCAACCTGAGCGCGAGTCAATCTAGTCAACGGGGTCAACAGCAGGTCAACGGAGGGCAGACAGGGGCAGCAGGCGAAGGGGAAGGGGCAGGGGGAGAAGGAGGAGCGGGAGGAGCAACAGGGCCAGGGGAGCAAGAGGAGGCGGATGAGAATCTGTCCTCTGGAGCAGCAGCGAAGTGCCCCCCATCTGAGACCATTCTCAAGGTATCTCATGAGTCGATCAAAGCCCAATAGAGTGGGCAATGCAGTCTAGAAAAGTTAGCGGGCTCAGTCTGTCATGGTGTCAAGTTGAGTTTGCCCCGTGGCTCGAGACATATGCGCGATATGTGCCCCCTCTGAAACTGCGATCATGGCAACTGGCTTTTGAGAAGTCTTGACAGTCACGCTCTTCAGTCAGCCTAGTAAGTCAGGCTCGTAACTCAGGCACGGATGTCCGGCTTGTAAGTCAGGCTCGTTCGTAAGTTAGGCTCGTAAATCAGGCACGGAAGTCAGGCTCGTAAGTCAGGCTCGTAAGTCAGGGTCATAAGTCAGGCACGGAAGTTAGGCTCGTAAGTAAGGCTCCTAAGTCAGGCTCATAAGTCAGGCTTGTAAGTCAGGCTTGTAAGTCAGGCTCGTAAGTCAGGCTCATAAGTCAGGCTCGTAAGTCAGGCTCGTAAGTCAGGCTCGTAAGTCAGGCTCGTAAGTCAGGCGCGCAATGCTTGCGGTGTGGAACCACTATGATGGCATTCAAGGCCTCCTTCTGCACCACCCCTTTCCCATCCCCGTTGCAACGAATTTCTTCCACAATTCCATCACCCATGCAGTTTCCATCCACTCCTTTTCACTGTCTCTCACCTTTTTCAAATCGTTTCTTCTCCTCACCTCTCCCCTTCCTGACGTCTCTGTGAACTATTCTTGCTGCTGCTCTTCCGTAAACCCCTAATTTCTCCCTTCACTGCAGCACAGCCTGTGGCACGCCAGTGGTCGCTATTTCCACACTATGGGCGTCTTTCCTCTCTGCTCCATGGATGTGTGCTTCAACTACTCGCGCTGCCCAACGCTGCCCTGTGCCCCCGTGTTCCCTGTGCCCCCTGTGTCTTCACTGCAGCATAGCTTGTGGCACGCCAGCGGCCGTTACTTTCATTCAATGGGCGTCTTCCCTCTCTGCTCCATGGATGCGTGCTTCAACTACTCGCGCTGCCCCACTTCCCCCTCTCAAGAACCCCTAGTCTACTCCTACTGGCCCGGGCAGCACTACTTTAAAGACTTCAATAAGACCAAGTGGTACACGGACGACCCCGCCAAGGCATGTTTCTTCTTTGTGCACGTGGCGAGGGGGCACCCGAACGAGTTTGCAGATCTGGAGCACTGGGGCGAGACTGGAGCCAACCATGTGCTTATAAGGTGCGTGCTTATAAGCTGCGTGCTTATAAGGTGTGTGGTTACGAAAGCAGATGCTTGAGTGCATGTAAGTGTACGATACAGAACCAAATGGCACAGCGGCGTGTGTCTTTGTTGGGCATGTGGTGAGGAAGCATCTAGATGAGTTTTCGGAACTGAAGCACTGGGGCGAGTCGCAGCCAAACATGTGACTATAAGGTGTGTGTGTGCCTATAAGGTGTATGTTTATAAGGTGTGCTTACACTGCTGTTCAGTTGTGTCCTTTTATATGTGCTTATGATGTCCGATCACTAGGTGCTTACACATGGTGTGTAGGATAAATAAAAGTCTAACATCATCTAGGTCCCTGATTTCTGGTGGACAACCGCTTTCTTCCTGTCACCCCCCTGGAATTGTCTCTCCCGCCTTGCCCCCCTTTCCTCTCCTTCTTCCCTTAACTCCCTTTCCTCAAATTTCCTCATACAGCTTCTCAGACTCCTGGAGTGGCCCATCCCCATTTGGGGTTGCCTCAGCAATGGTTATGGTAACCAACGCACAGGCAACGCTTATGAGAACGGATTTCGACACTTCCATCCCGCTGCCTCAAATGTGGAAAAACCCGCCCGTTGAGCTGCGGAACCTGCCTGCCGGATCTGCCCGGAAATATTTCCTGACCTTCAGAGGCACACGGTACCTGGGGAATTTGAAGGGCAATTTCCGGAGTGCCCCGGAGTTTAAAGCCTTGCACAATGGCAAGGATGTGGTTGTGCTGACAAGATGCGGGTAAGTTCTGATTCGACTAAGTATGAATGCATCTCAATGTTTGAGATGTTCCCGTGATCACAGCCCTGTGCGTGTGCTGTGAGTGTGCTGTGAGTGTGCTGTGAGTGAGTGTGCTGTGAGTGTGCTGTGAGTGTGCTGTGAGTGTGCTGTGAGTGTGCTGTGAGTGTGCTGTGAGTGAGTGTGCTGTGATTGTGCTGTGAATGTGCTGTGAGTGTGCTGTGAGTGTGCTGTGAGTGTGCTGTGAGTGTGCTGTGAGTGTGATGTGAGTGTTCTGTGAGTGTGCTGTGAGTGCGCTGTGAGTGTGCTGTGAGTGTGCTGTGAGTGTGCTATGAGTGTGCTGTGAGTGTGCTGTGAGCGTGCTGTGAGTGTGCTGTGAGTGTGCTGTGAGTGTGCTGTGAGTGAGTGTGCTGTGAGTGTGCTGTGAGTGTGCTGTGAGTGAGTGTGCTGTGAGAGTGCTGCGAGTGTGCTGCGAGTGTGCTGTGAGTGTGCTGTGAGTGTGCTGTGAGTGTGCTGTGAGTGTGCTGTGAGTGTGCTGTGAGTGAGTGTGCTGTGAGAGTGCTGTGAGTGTGCTGTGAGTGTGCTGTGAGTGTGCTGTGAGTGAGTGTGCTGTGAGAGTGCTGTGAGTGTGCTGTGAGTGTGCTGTGAGTGTACTGTGAGTGTGCTGTGAGTGTGCTGTGAGTGTGCTGTGAGTGTGCTGTGAGTGTGCTGTGAGTGTGCTGTGAGTGTGCTGTGAGTGTGCTGTGAGTGTGCTGTGAGTGTGCTGTGAGTGTGCTGTGAGTGTGCTGTGAGTGTGCTGTGAGTGTGATGTGAGTGTGCTGTGAGTGTGCTGTGAGTGTGCTGTGAGTGTGCTGTGAGTGTGCTGTGAGTGTGCTGTGAGTGTGCTGTGAGTGTGCTGTGAGTGTGCTGTGAGTGTGCTATGAGTGTGCTGTGAGCGTGCTGTGAGCGTGCTGTGAGTGTGATGTGAGTGTGCTGTGAGTGTGCTGTGAGTGAGTGTGCTGTGAGTGTGCTGTGAGTGTGCTGTGAGAGTGCTGTGAGTGTGTCAAAAGGATGACTGTAGCTTTTCAATCCCCGTCCTTACAGCTTCTAGTTATAAGGTGCTTCCAGCTAAGAACGATCACCCCCTCAACCCTTTGCAACCCCCCTCCTACCCCTCTCCTCAACCAGTGGGTCCACCAATTCGCGCAGTCTCTCGCAGGAACCTTTCCTCTTCGGTGCCCTTCTTGCTTCATCTCCAGCCGACCCTTTCCCAAACACCCCCCCCTCCGTCCCTCCCCTCTCTCCTCCTCAACCAGTGGGTCCACCAACGCACGCATCCTCTCAGAGGAACCTTCCTTGAAGCCGGAGTGTGACGAGGACGCGAAACTGTACACTCAGTATGACTTTGCTGACGTCATGAACACCACTTTCACTCTTGCTCCCGCCGGCAGGCAAGGCTCTACCTACAGGTTCCTTGAGGTATGTGTTATGTGGCGGTCGGGGCATATGATCTAATGTAGTGTGTGGTGTCATAAACACCCCATTCACTCTCGCTCTGGCCAGCAGACAAGGGTCTACCTACAGATTCCTGGAGGTATGAGTGGTGGGTGCTGGTTATCCTTGGCGTGTGTTGTGCCATGTGCTACAAGTCGTGAACACCTCTTTCACTCTTGCTCCAGCCGGCAGACAAGGGTCGACCTACAGGTTGCTGGAGCTGTGCGTGTGTGCTGTTTTGGTGGCCCCGGAACCTTATATGGTGTGCCATGGTCTCCAGCCCCTTGCCCCTTGTTCTTTCATGCTTCACTGCTCGCACATCATCCGTCACCGGAAAGGACCCAAGGTTGACTTCATCTTGTGGAATCGTTGCCTGCCACACGTCGCAAGCACCATGTGTGATGCCCCATGTTCCAGCCATTAACAGTGGGGGAGCATGTCCCATGGAACCTTCCTGTGGTGGTGGCTGACAACTGGCGCCTGCCATTCAACAGCATCATATCGTGGCACCACTGCCTGCTGCTGCGCCTCCCAATGCCCGATGTTTTCACCCATATTCCAAGCCCTGACTATAGGTGTGATCCCAGTGGTGCTGGCTGACAACTGGCGCCTGCCATTTGACAGCATCATATCGTGGCATCACTGCCTGCTGCCCCTTCCTATGCCTCTTCCGCACCCCATGCCGACTCCAGGCCTTGACAGTGGGTGCGATCCCAGTGGTGGTGGCTGACAACTGGCGGCTACCGTTCGACGACATCATATCGTGGCATCACTGCCTGCTGCGCTTCCCCACTGACCAGATGCACCGAATCTTGCCGACCCTTAGAGCCATGGACGAGGTATGGTATGCTCATGGGATATAGATGAGTGTGGCTAGGCATGAGCAAGTGAGTCAAGTTCTTTATTGTCCCGCCAATTCTACCCAAGTCGAGTCGAATCGGTGTAGTCAGTCGCGTCATAGTAAACCTCGACTCAGCCAGTTTTTCTTGTCAAGTCAATTCCGACTCGAGTCCAGTCAAGATCTGGCGGACTGCCACCCGATCTGGGCGGACCTGGCATCGACCAAGGGGGGCCTTAAGTCGCCTCTATGTCAAACGCATCAAGCCAGGCTCGACTCGGATTGAGTCGACCCTGAGGCGTGTCTGTACGAGTTACAAATTGGGATTTTGGCTGCCCGACTCGGACACAGTCGAGTGAGACTGGACTCGCCTGCTGGGCGAGGCACAGCTGACTCGGACTAGTCGAGGCTCGACTCGCCAGGTGCTCATGCCTAGGTATGGCATGCCCTTGGGTTTTGGATGCGGTACGGCATGCTCATGGTTTATGGATGATGCATGTGACATGGCATGCAGGGAAGATGGTCAATGATATGGTGGGTTCGCCTGATAACAGGATATTTTGTGGCATGGGGTGGACATTGTGGGAAATCGGTGGCTGTAGCATGGGGCAATGAATGAGATGTGCCTTCGGATATAAGCAGCACGGAGAGGCTGTTTTGTTTGTCTATATGTCTGTGCTGTTACATGCTTGACAATTACTTTCTCTGTATTCTGTTCTTTGCATTGCATACCAGTACTTCATTTGTTTCCATATCTACCTATACATCGTTTCCTAAGATGTATATCTTCTCTTCTCCTTGCGCATCCATCAATATCTCGATGCCCCCCTGTCTATCTATCCAGCCTACCATACAGCGGCGGCAGCAGGAGTGCCTAAGGATATACGACAAGTACCTCTCCTCTGACGAGGCCCTCCTCGAGTCCGTCATGCTTTCACTAAAAGCACACATGGGTGTCGTCATGCGCAGGCGTCGAAGATAGTGTAGACAATACTGTCAACATATATTTTGTGTATGTTTTAGGCTAGATAGGTGCATGCTCATAGAGAGTACAACACCTTAGGTTATATTTCCTTGTACCTCATCGTTCTAGTCAATCTATTACTCTGAGATGGTATCACGCTAGTAGGTTAGGATCCTGCCCACCTGCCCTTCCCGCCCTAGTCCTAGCCTTAGCCCACGCCGCCCGTCGCTAGCCGCCTGTTGCAACTGGCCGCCCGTGGCAGCCAGTCCGCTGTTAGCCTCTGGCCGCCTATCGCCGCAGGCTGCCCGTCGCCGCCAGCCCGACTGTCGCCGCTGGCCGCCCGTCGCTGCTGGTCGCTCGTCATCGCCAGCCGCCCGCTGCCGCCAGCCGCCTGTAGCCGCTGGCCACCTGTCGCCGCCAGCCGCCCGCTGCCGCCAGGCGCTGTCCGTTGCTGCTGGCCGCCCGCTGCCACCAGCCGCTGTCCGTTGCTGCTGGCCGCCCGTTGCCGCCAGCCCGCCCACCGTCGCTGGCCCGCCTGTAGCCGCCCGCCCGTCGCCGCCGGACATCCGAAGCCGCCAGCCGGCCTTGGCTTCCCCTCTGAGCTGGCGCTCTCGCCGGCAGTCTCTACGCACTTCACCGCTCTCCACCCCACTCCACCGCTCCCCACCGCACTCCACCGCACTCCACTGTCCTCCACCGCGCTCCACCGCTCCCCACCGCACTCCACCGCAGTCCAATGCCCTCCTCCGTTTGCCCTCCTCCCCTTGTCAGCGGAAGTCAGTTGCTGCAGCCGGGGTGATGGCGGACTCACTGCTCCGCCTGGACGTGGAGGGTGTCAGGCGTACTTGACTCCTCACCTGGTACCATGTCAATGACCTAGCAATCGGACAGTGTGCCAAGGATGCCGTGGTGCTCGGGCCGTTGAATTTGAGGCATGGCTCGTCGACCTCCACCGCCAGCTGACCGGGCAGCGCCAAGAAAGCTTCTCCCTGGCCGTCCATGTCGACGGTAAGCTCCCTCGCCCCGCCCTGTCTGCTGCCCTCCCTGACGCCCCCACGTCTGCTGAGCGTGAGGCTTTGTCGTTGCCGAGCTTGCCTGCGCTGTCTGGGACTCGCGCGATGCTGTTGCTCAGCTTGCCATTAGCCACGCCCTCCCCCTGTCCGAGCGTCCCTGCTTTACCGCTGTATCAAACGCCAAGGACTACTTAGATGCTGTCATCGCGCGCTATTCCACCCGCGCCTCAACCTCTGCCGGCCGCCTGATCCTCCCCATGCTGTTCCCTGACATTGCATCCTTCCCCACTGTCGCTGACCTTGCAACGCACCTGCGCGCACTGGAGACTAGCTACCGCGTCGCTAGCATCAAAGCATAACTCATTGCCTTCCCGCTGCCGCTATGCGCTACCCTTTACCTCATTGCCCCGCGTCTGCCTGACCGCCTAGCCACTGCCTGCGACCACTTCCTTAGTTAGCACCAAGGTGACCTCCCCCTCACTGCCTTTGTCACCGCCATGTCCGCGATAGAGACCCACCAGCGCACTATCACTCAGTCTAGCGGTACTGCGCCAGTTCCTATCTTCCAGGGCTGTGCTCCCTCCCAGTGCACTTACTCTGACGTTTCCGCCGCTGTTGCTCAGACAGCCCCTGCTGCTGAGACCGCCGCCGCGGCCTCAGCGCAGCAGCGTCAGGGTAGGGGCCGCCGCCCCAAGGGGGGGCGTGGCGGAGGGAAGTGTGGTAGGGGTGGTGGGGGTGGTGGAGGTGGGGGCGGGGACGGTGGTGCAGACGAGGGGACCGGGGCTGGTGCCCCGGAGCAGCAGCAGCAGCAGCAGCCGCCATGGGGACCCCTGCCGCCATGGTGGCCTGGTGGCGCTGGTGGTGGAGGTCGTGGTGGTGCTCCGTGCAGCTCAGTGTCGGGTGGCAGCTCTAGTGTGGCCACCTGCCAGTACCAGCTTCAGACCGGCCCCCTCCGCGGCACCGTCTGCGACCATCCAGGTCACACCGCCACCCGCTGCTACCGCCACCCCGACGACTACCGTCTCCACTTTGGTCCCACCTCGGACCCTCCTGACTAGTACGCCCTGGCCCGCCGCCCTGTGCCTCACTTTGAGCTTGACACGGATCAGATTAGGACTGCTATGTATGTCATGTATGCTGATGACTCTAGTGTGACTTGATCTTATTACCCTGTGTTGCCTAGCGTAGGTGTGCCTCCTGCGTGTCGTCTAGGTTCCCCTGCTGTATCAGGCATAGGACTTCCTGCCTTGTTTAGCTTAGGCTCTACGCTAGCCCCCCCACCAGCTGCCGCTACTGCAGATGCTAATGCTTTGCTCCAGTTCATGCTTGACTCTGGATCGTCTGCCTACTTCTTCCGCGACCACACTTCGCTCACGCCGCTTGCTGCCCCTGCTGCTGTAGCGCTTGCTCACCCCTCCTCAGGTCCGGTAGTCGCACGTTGCTCCACTACCCTTCCCTGTCCGGCAGTCGCCTCGGGCTCTCTTATAGGTTTCCACATCCCCTCGTTCTCTAGGAACCTTTCTGGTGCCCGTTGTCTTCAGAACCTTGGCGTCATCACTACGTTCTCTGGACACGAGCGGTACACCGTATGTAAAGAGGCCGCCACTGGTGCCCCTCTTACCACGTTCCCCCGAAAACCCGTGCCTGGCCTGTTCACGCTGGACACTGCATCTCCCCCCCCCGTCAGAGCGTCCCCCCAGGTGGCCGCGTCCTTTCAAGTAGCTACAACCTGCTCGTGTCGGTCGCTCACCCACCCTTCACTGCTGTGGCACCACCGCCTAGGTCACCCTGCTCTCCCGCTTCTGCGTCACATGTCCCATCACAGGCTTGTCCGTGGTCTCCCTGCGTCACTCCCTGCCCTCCCTCCCTCGCCTGCGCCGCCGTGCACGCCCTGCATCGAGGGCCGGCTGCGACATGTTCCGCACTCCTCCTCGCTTCTCCCTACCACTACGTCACTCCCGACCCTGAACCTGGACGTTTGGGGTCCCACCCCTGTCTCTGGGCCGTGTTGTAAGCGCTACTTTCTAGTGCTTGTCGACGAGCTCACGCGAGTCCACCGCGCCCTCCCAGTGCTGCGTCTCCACTCCGACCATGGCGGCGAGTTCGCCTCCGGTCGGCTTGGCCAGTTGTGTCGTGTGGAGGGCATTGTTGGTGCAACCCTATGGCTTGCACTCGGCTTGTCGTCCTTGTTTGTGTGTGTATGCATGGCATGGAATGAATTGTGAGTCTATGTCATTGCTATCTAGTGCTTGTGTGTGTGTTTGAATGGTGTATCACAACGTGGTTTGTGTCGGTCAAGACATTAGCGAGTTTTTACAACTCGCATGTCAAGTCGTCGTTTGCGTGTCGCATGTGTTTTTTCTATTTTGTCGAGTGTGAAGTGTCCATCGCGTCGCAGGTGTGTGCAGCAAGCCCCCATCAACTCAAGAAGAATTTATCTTGCAGATCCAAGACCAAGAGCTCAAGATTTCAAGCCCAAGGGACACGGATAACTATTAAATAGTGAAAATAGTAACGCTACTTCGTGCAGTGTTACATTTCACTTGGTGTAGCCCCTTGGAGGGTTGGTTTCGAGACTCTTCGGGGTTGGGGACTCTGTGGTGGTGTACCACCAACCTGGACCTCGGCTCTTGGGGTATGTAGAGGCTGGGAACCATCTCCCTCTCGAATTCTTCTTCCTAAGTTTTTTGTACTCCTAAGACTATAGTGGCTGTTGTACCTCCTGCCAGTCAAACCACCATAGCGTCGTCAAATCTTCATGGAATTTTATGATTCAATTTGCTGCTGATAGGCGACAGCAACGCGCTTCAGATCCAATTTACAGATTACCGTTTGAAGCACACATCATATCAGCATCAACATTTAAAGCTGTCTAACGGAATTCTGACTGTGCACAATTTCTCTCATTTTAGGCACATCTGAGCCTATTGTGATTATAAAAAGTGGTATAAGAGCCCCTTGGAGCCGTCTCAACCATGCCTAGACCTAAGGAAGGGGGTGGCAGAGGTGCTGGAGGCAGAGAAGACGCCCAAGCACAAGGTCAACACCAAGATCCACCCGTTGCTCTGGTGCAACCTACCCTTGGACCCTCTAGGGATGAGCCTAGAGTGTTTGGCCTTGACAAGTTCAACGGTGACAACTTTGCTGAGTTGTCCTTCAAGATGGAGAACATATTTGACCACTATGATCTGCTGGAGGTGATGGAAGGAACGGAGAAGCGCCCCGAGAACGACCCGGAGAAGAGCCCATGGGTGCGGAAGAGTGCACAAGGCTACCTTCTACTTGGGCAAGCGTTGGGGAGCAGCCAAACCCGTCACATCAAGCCTTTTCAGCGTGAAACAGCAAAGGGACCAAAGGCATGGGCTGCTCTCAAGGGTGTACACGCTCCTGCAACAGCGGCGGTGGCTGTGGTTTTGGAGCGGCAAATGGCGGCACTTCGAATTGACGAAGGCGAACCGGTGGAGGAAGGAGTGCAGAAATTCTTCGACTTGTTGATACGGCTCGAAGGAGCTGACCTGAACTACAGTGAGCTTCAAAAGAAGACCAAGCTGCTGGCCTTACTTCCGGACTCATGGTCCTCGCTCATCATCAACCTAAATCGAGATCTGCCCGTCTCTCACTGGAAGATGTGAAGCGGGAAATCTTACAAGAAGATTTCCGCCGTCGCGAATTGGCGGGTCCCGATGGTGCCGGAGTTGCAAGCATGGGCCGTGGGCACGGCCGTGGAAGGGGCAGAGGGCGAGGAGCAGCAGCTACTTCAATGGAGGCCGTGGTAATGGAGGAACGCTACTTCGTGCAGTGTTACATTTCATTTGGTGTAGCCCCTTGGAGGGTTGGTTTCGAGACTCTTCGGGGTTGGGGACTCTGTGGTGGTGTACCACCAACCTGGACCTCGGCTCTTGGGGTATGTAGAGGCTGGGAACCATCTCCCTCTCGAATTCTTCTTCCTAAGTTTTTTGTACTCCTAAGACTATAGTGGCTGTTGTACCTCCTGCCAGTCAAACCGCCATAGCGTCGTCAAATCTTCATGGAATTTTATGATTCAACTTGCTGCTGATAGGCAACAGCAACGCCCTCCAGATCCGATTTACAGATTACCGTTTGAAGCACACATCAGATCAGCATCA